TTTTTTTTTTTTTTTTTTGAGACAGGGTCTGGCTTTGTAGTTCAGGCTGGCTCTGAACTCACTAGGTAGCCCAGCCTGACCTCAAACTCACGGTGATCCTCCTGCTTCAGCCTCCTGAGGGCTGGGATTACAGGCATGCACCACTATGCCTTGCCAGAAGGTAGGATTCTTTTTGCATGTATCCTTTGAAGCCTGAAACACCACGGGGGGATGTTTTTCCGATAGACTAAGAAAGTCTTCCTGTGACTGGCTGTGACTGGGGCTCTCCCCTCAGAATCTGCCATTTGAAGGCAGTGGCCACAAGAGCTCTCCACTCTCTCGCCGCAGCATCTCCGGCAGGTGCCTGTCTGTGCACTCCCTCCAGCTGCCCCTGAGGTCCACAGGCACTGGCTCCACAGAAATAGCCCTGGGTCGGTGTTCACTTGGGGCTGTCCGCAGTAGCTCCACAGTGGCTCCAGAGCCTGGTGTTCGGGTGGTTTGGGGGGCTCAGGGGTCAAGGAAGCTGGACTGTCAGCGCTGCACAGGGCCGTTTCTGGAACCGATGCCCCCAGCGCACCCCGAGACTGGGATGGGTTCCTGGCCTCCACTGCTGCCCTTGGGGCTCCCTAGCAGAGGCTCCAGGCCAGAGCCAGAGAGGAATTCAGACCTTCAGATGACACCTGCCACGTGATTTGTGACGCAGTGACTTGGAACACCATCTGCACAGTGTACGCAGACAGCGCCCTGGGTTAGGAGAGTTCCTGGGAGTGGGCTTTCTGCTCTGCATCCTCTGTCTACCTCTCGCTCCTCTCCCAGCTGGTGTAGCAGGTGCCCTGTCTGGCCAGCCATCAGGAACAGGCTGGGTGAGAGCTCCCACCTTTAAGGCGACACCCCCATATAAACACACAAAGCTATAAACAGCAGCTTTTAGACCACAAGTCCAAATTTAAAATGCACCCTGCCGAAGAGGGTGACAAAGAAGGTGTCAGGCACAGGAGTCAGGAAGGGTGCTTCACATGGCCCGATTGCCAGCCACTACTCAGCACCCCGACCCCAGATGCCTGCACGTGGTATACAGTCAGGGGCCAGCGGCTGAGGAGCACTGGGACATAGAGGATGGGGTCCGGGCAGCCTCAGCTACCAGGGAAGGCAGAACAGGCTTCATAGCCTCCCCACATGCAGGTGTGCATGGGCTCCGCTCTCTCCCCCAGCTCAGCAGGGCAGACAGGGAGGGAGGGCAGGCAGAGATGGAGACCACACCATATGCCTGGGGTCACGCAGCTAAGGGGAACAATCCCAGACACCTGGCCAGCGCTGCTTCTTGCCCTGCTTGCTTCAGGTTTCAACAATGAAGCCACATGTACACCAGAGGCACAGCAGCAACCTCCAGGAAACCCAGGCTGTGGCTTTCTATTTCCTGGCCTCTGGTCAGGCTCCCTCTGGCCAAGTGTTCAGAGTCAGGAGGATCTGACACCAGGAGGAGCTCCAAGTCCAAACATCAGACCTGGAGGAAGCCCCAGGACCAGTTTTTTTTAGCCTATTACCTTAGTGATGGGGATCTGTACTGTTCCCTTTATCTGACATCATGAGTACTCTTCTACGTAGTCCCTAATGAACACATTGTTTTTCTTTTTTCTTTTTTGTTTTTTTAGACAGGGTCTTGCTGTGTAATTCAGGCGGGCCTTAAACTCGCTATGTAGCCCAGGCTGGCCTTGAACTTGTGGCAATCCTGCCTCAGCCTCCCAAGTGCTGGGATTATAGGTATGAGCCACCATACCCCGCTTACACCCATGGTTTTTTTAGGCGTCAAACTGGAGTTGTTGGAACAAGAGGCTCAGTTCTCCTGTCTGTACAGGAGGCTCCAGGGCACAAGCAGGTGGAAAGCTCTTGGTGCAGAGTACCTGGTGTTGAGTAGGTCCAGCTCCGTGCTCTTCTCCCGCTCTAGCTTGCTGTAGGCCTCTCGGTGTCGCCGGGCCTCCTCCTCCAGCACCTGCTCAGCAGTGGTCTCCTGGTCCTTCACCATCTCCTCCAGCTCGTGCACTCTGAGGAGGGGGCACAACTCCAGTCCAGGCAAGTTCTCATGGCCCAAGCGGTCTCATCCCAACCTGGGCCCCACCGAGTCCTAACATGTTTACTGACGAAGGTGGCTGAGTGTTTTCCAGGCCTGTGGGCCACCGTCTAAGACATCTAAGACACCTACAGAGAGGTGTGTCCATCACACATACTGGAGAGGCGCAGAGGACAGTGTACAAGACAGGGCAACACAGGGAGGAACAGCGGGCCTTACCACGCTGGACACAGCCTCAGGTCTCACCTCCTCTGCACTGCTTTCCTGGCCATTCCCCCTCTGGTCAACAATTTAGCTCATTAGGCACTGTGACTCCAAAAATGGGTACATCCTGGCCAGTGGCCCAAACGTGCCAGACCTGGGAAAGGGCCAGACCCCATGGATGGTTCTAAGCCCACTACTTGTAGCCTTGCTGGCCTGTCAGTCTCAGGCACCTCACTGCTAATGGTCCCTGCAACAGGCTGACCTTCTGGGCTATACAAAAGGGCCCATTTTTGAGTTCCACAAGGTAGGGGACCAGATCCCAAACCAGCTACCAAGTTTCCTGCATCTGGGGAGGATGACAAAGTCCAGCATCCACTGCCTCATTGCCACAGCACTGGGAATGCTGTGCTCCATCGGCCTCTCCCTCTGCAGCACTCATCCCCAGGACGGCCCTTGTCACTGCATGCAATGAGAGTCAATAGATCCCAGGTCCTGTCATAGACCACTCTGGAGGCTGCTCACCTGGAGTACTTTGGGCCTAAAGTCAAGGTCAAGATCCTCAGCCCGTCAGAGTGGAAGGACTGAGGTTACAAGGTCAACCCTGCATCCCCCAGAGCAAAGACCCCAGCCTGACCTGTGTACCAGCTGCGTATTCTCCTGCTTCAGCTTGCTCTTCAGGTCCCCGTTGGTCAGGCTGTCATTCTCCAGCTCTGTCACCTTCTTTTCCAGGAAGCTCACCTGCAGCAGCAGGGGGAGAGGTGGCATGGAGACCTTTGAGGCCACAGCACTGAGAAACTGGTGCTCATGACTGAGACCTCTAGATGATCATATGTGCACAGAAGTCATGAGCGTGTGTATGTGTGGGGGGACCATGTGACCTGTCTGCCTGCCCCCAACCCCTGGGCAGGTACAGGGTCTCCCAAGTCTCCAGAGTGCTCCCCACTGACCCCAGGAGCATGCACACATTGCATCCCTTCCTTCTCCACCCTCACAGGGCCTACCTTCTCCGTGATGTCGTTATCACAGGAGTCAATGCTGTCCCGGAACAGATCTTCTGTGCTGCCGTTGCTGCTGCTGAAGTTGCTGTTGTGCATGAGCTGCCTGGAGGTGTGAGGAGGGCAGCGGCTGCAGAGGCCCCAGAGCTGGGGGTCGGACTAGGCTATGGGCTGGGTGAACATCTATCACCAGGGTGCTTGGAAGCCCCAGAGAGGCAGGTGGCCCTCACTGAGCCACAGGAGTAGAGTGAGGCCTGAGCTCCATACCCAATAGATTGTCTTCTCTGAGAATGGCAGAGGGGGTGCTATGTCCGCTCCTCCTGAGCCTGTGCCAGCCATGGCCAACGATAACAGTTCCTTTCTGCTGCCTCTGAACCCTCTTCACACCAATGCTAGCCAGCAGCTACCAAGCGAGCACGGCTGGCCTAAGAGGCCCCCTTTCTCCAGCTGGAAACCTGACAATGGTGTCTGGGCCTCCAGAGGCTCCTCGTAAGGCACCCCACCACCGAGCTGGCTCCATCTCGGGGAATCTTGGTAGGGTGAAGGCAAGGAGAGCCACCCTCTCCTTGCAGGGCACTGAGTTGAGGGGTGAGGCTGGAAACAGGTGGAAAGGCACTGATGGCTGGAGGTGGGCTGTGTCTCTGGGCAGCCCCATAGATCACCCAGGTGAGGCCAGGTGTGGGACGAGGGCAGGGAGGAGCCTGGCCTTCCTTCTCAGGAGCAGACTTGGCTGTTCTGCCATAGCACTGGGACAGCCTCACTCAGCCTCTGCTCACTCAGCCATACACACGGCACAGGCTGGGTCTGGGCTGACGGTATGGAGCCCTGGCTGTAAGCAGCGGGGACAAGTGAACAGGAATGGCTAATGGGTGGGGGGTGGTTACCGTCCAAAGGCTGTGCTAGAGATCTTCCGGTTGGGGCTAAAGAGAGAGAGAGGGAAAGAGGGAGAGAGAGAAGAGAGAAGAGAGAGAGAAGAAACAGTTACTACAGATGTGGCTCTGGTCCACCCCGACTCCCCCTGCTGCAAGGTAGGCTCTTTCCTCTACTGAAGAGGTCTCACTCACTGCTTAGTCCTGAAGAGAGGCAGCCTGACTTCTCGTCACAGGAAAAGCCTCCAGCATCAGTCCTGCTAGCGAACACCCTCACCTCCCAGCCTGAGTGGATGCCTGCCTGCTCCCTCTCCCTCCCAGCCCCATCCCGGTGGCAGCTTATGCCACCACTGGGCTGCAGGCCTCACCTGTTGGCCTTCAGGTTTTTCAGCCTAGCTTCCAAGTCATTCAGCAAGTTGATTTTCTTGCAGCACTGAGAGCAGTATACATCCAGCAACTCGCTGTTGTACACATGCCGCATCTTCCTCGGGGTCTGTCCCGCACTGATCAGAGGAGGAGAAGAAATCACTTCTTAGCTGCAGTCAGGTTGTGCCCTACCCCACCCTGCTGAGCTGACTTTAGTTTGTTCCCCGAGAACTAAATGGGTGGCATGAGGAGTGGAAATAAACACCACAGCATCCCTTTCCTGGTGCTCTCAAAGAGAAAAAAAATTAATGAGATGTGCCCATTGAACAGATAAGGCAGACTGAGAGCCAATGTGAGAAGTAATGACTCAGGTGGGTGGGAAGGGATCACAGAAAGTCATGCTGAAGAACCTTCTGGCACAGAGATTCTAGGAAGCCAGATGATGCGGAACACCCCTGACAGTTTCCTCTTCAGCCTCCCAGGTCAGTAATTGCTTTGTTTCTCAAGATGGGAGGGGAGGAGGAACTCCCGACTCCCAATCAAGGTGCAAGTACAGCACCCTTAACCCAAGGAGCAGACCCGTGCAGCACGGGGCAGAGGGAATGGCAGTTAGCTCTGGAGTCCACCTGCAGAGCCCTGGAGTGAGGCTGGATTGGTTCTACCACTCTCTTGGACTCCAGATAGCACCCCAGACCAAGGGGCCACCTGGAAGACACTGAAGACCCCAGGTCTGAGTAGACGTTGGTCCTGGTCTCGTCGTCAGGGCAGGGGCTGCTGGGGGCACAGTCCACATCATCCCCCTCGCCATAGTCTTCAAACTGCTCCTCGCTGCTGATGAGCGAGGCAGTGGAGTGTGTGGAGAGGTCTGGCGTCATCAAGGACGGAGTGTGCACCAGGGACCTGGGGGCCCAGAGCGCCAGGTTAGTGAGGGAGCCTGGTCAGCCTGTGCCTTCTGACCTGGGCCCCCACCCTCCAGGGACCCTCTTGGCACAGAAACCGTCTGCATGGGGGACATGCAGACCTGTGCTCGCCCCAAGGAGTGAAGCACTGGTTACAACTTAAAGGGTTAGCTACAAGCTAGACTTAAAACTACAATCAAACTATAGTTATTAAATTACAACACTTATTAGTGATCCAAGTTATCAGATAATCAAACAGTTGTTGAAAGGCTTGTAAAAATATTGGCAATAATGTGGAGAAATGAGTATAAATTAAGTTAGATATGACTGATGCTTTTTCAAAGATTGTGTATAAGGTCGGTGTAGGAGGAAAACACATAGGGAAAATATTAAAATGGTAACAGGACTCGGGTTTACGGAAGGTTGTTTCTCCCCTCTCACTTTTCCTACCTGTTTCAAGTCTTTTCTTTTTTTTTGGTACTGGGGATCGAACTCAGGACCTTGCGCTTTCAAGGCAGGCGGCAGCACCACTGAGCTAAATCCCCAGCCCTCAAGTCTTTTTAATTAATGTGCACACCTTTTATAATGAAATGATAATGTGCTACTAGATGAGAAGCATCTCGTGGTTTGGGGGCAGATTTCTAGTCCAAAGAATCCTAATCCCAGAGAACACAGGTTGGAGACTTCAGGCTCTGGGGTCTCTCATGGGTGACCTGTGGTGCGGCCTCTGGTTTACGGGGGACTGGCCGAGCCCATTTACAATCTAAGAATGAAGAGAGGTAACGCATCACCAGCCAAGCAGATCTTTCTTTCATCACTACATGGTAACTTCTCTCCATTACTGTTCACAGATCATGATTTCCCCAACCTCAATGAGCCTTCACACTCAAAAATGGGAAACCAGGGCCGGGCAAGTGTAAGGTCCTGAGTTCGATCCCTAGTACCAAAAAAAAAAAAGGGAAACCTGATCAGTGCAAGAAGCACATCATGGGTTAAGGCAGTAATTCCCAAATCATGCCCTTGAGGAACCCCAGGCTCTATCTAAGAATCAGTGTTAATTACAGGGTGCTAAAGAAAGTCTCCTGGAACGGTATTTGTCTACCCTCAAGTTCCTTAGCACTTCAGGCTGCATTAATCATACTGCTTCGTTCTTTTTCTTAAAGATTTTACTAAAACTCCTGGCACCCACTGCTGGCTTGCCTCCTGGTGGTCAGTCACTGGAAACGATGGGGCCACCAAATGGCAGATGATTAACTACAAGATCAACAGGTCAGCCAGGCATGGCGGCACACAACTGTAATCCCAGCACTCAGGAGGCTGAGGCAAGAGGACTGCCATTGAGTTTGAGGCCAGCCTGGGTTTACATAGTGAGTTTAAAGCCAGCCTAAAGTACGTAGCAACAACCTGTCTCAAAAACAAAACAAAAAAATCAACAGGTCTACTGTTCATAGCCCTTCTCCTTGGGTTAGCTAGTCACGGGTACTGCAGCTGAACCGCTCCCAGGAAGCAACATGGACCCCATGATAGATTAAGCTCCCCAAATGGTGCCACCTAGAAATCATAACCCTCAGAATCACTGAGAAAATGTGTCCGGTTAAATCATGTGAAGCTACTTCTTGGGAGAAAAGTTGAAAATGATTAAAAATTAGCAATTTTATGTGGTTCAGTCATAATGGAACCACCCTCTTCCCTCTCTCTTAACTGTCACCTTCTTCTGATGCCTGGGTCACCATTTCCAATCACTATGGATTCCTCAGCCATGGTGGTGGCTGCACCTCACCACCCCCAGCACTGTATCCCTCTGGGGATCTCCTGAGGGCTGAAACAGAAGGGATTCCTTCTGTTGACATCAAACTAAAAGTGACCCTTTTCAATGTGAGGTCACTCGGTCTCTTCTTTTCTCCTGTGGAGCTGGGGATCAAACACAGCTCTGTGCCTAGCCAAACATGCTAGACTGAGCTACAACCCAGTCCACTCAATGACTTAGGTCTTAATACTGTTTTCAAACAGCTCATGAGCTATGCATGATCAATGCTGAAAACACAGATTATACAGTAGAGTACATGGAAGGTCATTAAAATAATCATCCTATCTCCCAGAAATAACTGCTCAATTTTTAAGAATATATTTTCTAGAAATTTCCTCATATACAGGGACATATTTTTAAACAAAGCTAAGATCATAGTTCATTGGCATTTCTGTAACCTGTTTGTTTTCTTTTTGGTACTGGGGATCGAACTCGGGACCTTGCAGTTACGAGGCAGGTGACAGAACCACTGAGCTAAATCCCCACCTCCTTGTAACTTGTTTTTTTTTTTTTTGGTAACCTTTTTTTTTTTTTTCGTACCAAGGATCGAACTGGGGTCCTTGCGCATGCCCAGCAGGCTATGAAACCACTGAGCTAAATCCCTGGCAACCTGTTTTTTTTTAAAACGAATCAAGATTGTGAATTCCAGGCCAGGGATTTAGCTCAGTGGTTCTGCTACCTGTCTCGAAAGCGCAAGATCCAGAGTTCGATCCCCAGTACCAAAAAAAAAAAAAAGATTGTGAATCCCATATCATAAAACTATTAAAACCTGACTTGGCACAGCTGTCTGCAGTTCCAGAACTATTTCTACTTCTGAGCGCTTAGGCTGCTTAGAATTTTTTGCCATGCAGAATGCCCATGAGAGTAATGCCTATGATGCAAATCTTGAGTATGTCTCAACGTGCACTTCCCGTTTCGAAAGGCCTTCCAAAAAGCTTCATTTCTGGCCCAGAGGCCACATACCGAGCTCCTTCCAGTTTCACTCACTTGTCCTCTGATAGAAACAGGCCCCCAAGTTCCTGTTCCTTCTCCTCAGCAGGACTCCCAACAGACCCCTCCAGATTCTGGGCGCTCTCCATGGGGCTGTCCATGTCTGACTCCCGGAGGCCCTCAGGTGGGGCGAGTGTCACCTCCTCCTCGTCCTCAGGAAAGAAGCCAGGTTCCCTGGGGAGGAGCTCGCCATCAGCAAAGGTGGAGCCCAAAACCTCGCTGCCCTGGGAAAGGCAAGGGAACAGAGTGAGCAAGAGCTGACTCGCTGTGACTCCCGTGCTCCTCATCAGAGCGCAAGGGCATCAGCAAGCCTGGGACAGCACAGCGGGGACCAGGGCACAGGAAGGGCAAGAACCTGACACCCAAGGACGAGAAAGCCTGGAAGGTGACAGGTCTTGGGGGACAGCATCCACAGAGAAGGGCAGCCACATCCTTCAGGGCACCTGGCCAGCACACTGGAGCCCGCATCACAGAGTCTGCATGGCATGCCAAGTACTTGCAGAAGGCACCTTGGTGATCTGCATTAAGGACACAGCCACTGAGAGTGCCCTTCAGAACAACCCTGGCCTCAAGAGTTTTAAATGCAGCATGGCGGAGGTAAGTCTCCCCAGCTTGGGACCCAGCCCCCATGACTCTGCATGTCACAAAACCTCATTTTCTCCTTGGTAAAGCAAGAATGCCACTGAAGGAGGTGTTTCATGTTAGCGCCAGGCACACCGTAGGACCTCAATGAGTAAATTCTGGCCAGAAGATGCATTGCCAGTTGGGGAGATAAGTGTCAGCCTTGGCCCTGCCACAGTCATGCTAGGGACCAAGAACCCTAGGCCTTTCACTTCTGAGCTCTGGCCCAGACTTGCTCACTTGGGGTTCAGCGCCCAGCACAACACCACATGATGTTGGTACACAATAAAGAAGCTCCTTGCCTGGCAGAGTGCTCTGTGAAAGTGCTCCCCTCATCCCATGTTCCAAGAAGGGCGCCAGGAATGAGGGCTGTGAAAAGCCACTGCCAGTCTCAGACAAGAACAGTTTCCAGGGCAACTGACTCGGGACCCCTCCCATCTCAGGAGCTATTCCTATTCCCAAATAGACCTTTCCTACTCAAGAAAAAACAAAACAGAACAAAGAGGTTCCAGGACATCTGAGGAAGGGAGACAGGCTTGGATGTGCCTGCCGTGTGTAGTCCCTTGGGGGTCTATCCCCAGCAGGAGAGCCCTGGGCTAAGAACAGATGTCGATTAATGAGCTAGGCTCCTGCTTGCTTCGTAACACAGGCTGAACAACAGATGGAACAATACAGTTGGCGTCAGAAACCCCTGACTGGGGAAGAATTAAAGTCACCCTAAATGTTTGCAGGGCCCTTTCCACCTAGATGTCACTAATCCGATCCCACATGGTTCCAAACCTATCAGCTCTTACACCCTAAGCTAGGGCTTCATCAGCAAGCAGGAAGCTGCATCCAATGGACATGAAAGGAAACCAACATTATCAAACACCCACCTTGTTCCACAGATAAGAGCTTCAGAGTTCATATATTATCCCATTTCCATTTCCTAACAACCTCCAAGACATGTAGTGTGACTCCCATTTTACTGGTAGGAAACAGGCTCAGAGGATAGCTTGTCAGAGTCCTCTATCAGTAGCCTGAGGACCTTGCAGGCTTCTGCTGTCAAACCCTTGCTCCACTTATTACCAATGTCTCCACACTTCATGGATTTTCAAACCTCGGAGTAACAAGGAGGAGATGCACTTTATAGTGACATATTACTCTTTGTGACGCCCAGATGTTCTGCTAGATGCAGCAACTTCCATGTCCGCCTGCTGCCAACTCCACAGGAGACTCTGGTTAGCCCAGCGACACTCAAGAGAAACAAAGGGGGAGACTGCGAAGGGAGCCAGGACTCACTGGGGAGCAGTGTGCATGGTCTGTGTCATCCCTTAGCTGGCCATGAAGAACTAACTGCAAACCTCACCCCGAGAGCCACATGGGCAGGAGTCGACAGATAAGCTCGGCCACTTGGGCAAGGGCCTTTCCTCCAGTCTTCCCCACAGGGCTCCTTTTCCCCTTTTTGTAGGCAAAGATCCTTGCCTGGGATGGTGGTGACTGGGACCAGACTCTGTGTCACCAACACCTAGTTTCCTCCACATCTGGGGTTCCGAGGAAGCTGCAGTCCACCTGGCTCCCAGAAAGCAGGCAGCGTCACCTCGGGCAGCTCAGGTTTGGCTGGCTGGACTCAGATCCAGGGTTTATGTGGTGCAATCGGCCCACTGATACACCAACTCACGCCACACTGCAAGTGGGTCCCGGCCCCTCACCCGACATCCTACAGCAGTACCGATGCACTGGGAGGTTGCCCAAGCTCCTGGCCAGTGACCAGAGTGGCCCCAAGAAGCCTGTCTCAGTCACAGGTCAGGCAGGAGGGGCACAGATGTCCCACTCTCCAATGAGACCAGATGTGTGACAGATCTTTAGAGTCACACCTGCCTGGCCTCCACCTTTCACAAACTGACCTCTGTCCGTTCATCTCTCCCACCAGCCTTGGGAGGGCTCCGCGATGTTGGATTCCTGTTTGCCTCTGACACGGGGGTGGGTTTCTGCCCTGGAACTTCCCAGTTGAGTCCTCCTTCAGAGGACCCAGCTGAGACCTGAAGCCAGGCTCAGACATGCAAGTCCAGGCCTTCATCTCCCCTCTGGCTACACACACACTCCAGCTTTTCCTCTTAAAATTAGCTACTTCCTTTATTAACACCTTTTCCTTCAACCCACAATTGTTTGCCCAAGGCAAGGAGAAACTTTAATTATAACTTCAAAACCATTTCTCCTACTTCCCCCTAAATTAAAAGACAGCTATAAGAAAAGTAACTACTGGGCCAGGGGTTTAGCTCAGTGGTTTCGCCGCCTGCTGCGCAAGTGCAAGAACCCGAGTTCGATCCCCTGTACCAAAAAAAAAAAAGAAGTAACTATTTACCTTGATTAGTTCAGCACAGGACCACTTTGTTCCTGACCCAAGACCCTTTCAGTCTGGCAACTGTCCTGGACAAAACCTTTCCTGTTCCCCCTTGTTCCTCCTAGCAGGCCACAATCCCTGGCCTCAGCTGCAATCCCCTGGTCCCTGGGGGAGCCACCAGCACCTTCTCCTGGTGGGCCTGGCAGGGGACGGCTGGATGGGGGCAGTCTGCTCTGTTCCCCCACTCCTCAGGCAGTGAGGCGCTGGAAGGTGCTGGAGTGGCTCTTATTCTTCCCCAGCCCCTTCTCACCAGCTGGGTGAACTCAAAGTCCTATCAGGACACCTGCTGAGCCAGTGTCTCTGTTTTTAAAAGTTGCAGAGGAAGAGGGAGAACTGGTCTGTAATGAAGTCACCTTCATAAGGTTCTAGGTGGCTGGGGACATGGGCTTCCTGAGGCTGTGAGTGACCCTCCAGCCAGGCCACCCGAGTGGGTCACTACCACATGGAGCACCTGTGTTCAGCCCCCAGAAGAGGCTGCCTTGCAGCGTGCATCCAGGAGACCTTTGGTAGATGTGGAGGGACAGAAGATGAGCCGCCTGGGGGTGGTTAGGTAAATTCTATTGGGGTGGATGCAAAATGCCAGCCTCATTCCCAGGCAAACCCAGGGCTCCTTTTGATGAAGGGACTCCAGGCTGCGGCAGCATGTCAGGGTCCTTCCCACAAGGGCTGGGGGTAGCGGGGGAAAGGATGGCATCACCCTACCTCATCTTCCTGCTGGGTGGGAGACCAAGAACTGCCCACTGGCCCTGTCGACCCACAGTGGTGCTCTCTGGCTCCCAGACCCTGCTCTGGAGGGCTGGCAGAATCACAGGCAGGAACAGGCTTCCTAAGATCTCATGTCTCCAGGCAGCCAGTGAGCAAGGCCAGAGCCCATGGCAGCTTCTGAGACTCTGCCCCTCAAGAGTTCCCTTCTCCTGACCCTTTCCCCATTGTGTGAAAAAGAAGTTCCTGCAACCTTGCAGTTACCATCCAGTGGCTCCTGCACTGGGGACAGGTCCAGGCCACAAGCTTAAAGAGAACTCAAGAGTTGTACAGAAAGCTGTGGCTGGTCTTTTGAGGGACTTTAGGAAAGGGACGGTGTACTCAACAGGAAACACTGGGCATTATGCATGGTCCAATCTGACTCCCCAGGGCTCCGGTGCTAGAGACCTAGAGGCAGCCCTGAGCACAACAGGGCTCCTGTCCAGGGCCCAGGGCCAGCTCCCATGGGCCATATGGACTTGGCTGGCTTATGTCCACAATGCCCCAGGTTCACCCCCTTCCCATGTCGAGGGCTCCCAGGAGCGAAGGAGATAAAGCAGATGCAGTGTGTTCCTCCACAAGCCCAGGGACCTCTGTGGGTGGGACCAAGTGAGGGGTCAGCACTGGAGCCTGGTAGACTGGAAAACTCGTACGCTGTGTGCCTGAGACCTCCCCTACAGAGCAGGGACTCTCATCTCTACCTCAGAGGCTACTCGAGGCCCACACATGACAATTTACACAAGCACGAGACAACAGCTGTGAGAACTTAAGTCCTGGTCTGGCCTCTGGAAGGGCTGTGTGTGGCAGTGCCTGAGCCAGGCCTGCACCAGGGTTCCCAGTTGGCCAACTGGCAAGGTCCGGAGAGGCAGGCAGCCAGCCCAGGGGTTTCTACAGAGCACTGAGGCCCAAGGCTGGGGAAAATGGACCCAGCTAGCTTCCCTGGCAGGGCAGGTCTGTGCCACCAGCATCCTGTGCTGTTGTCTCCCCACCTCCACTTCTTCACTGTTTCCAGCTGGGGCTGGACAGAGCTGAGCCACACTGGGGTGGGAGTCTGGAGGAACACAGGCTGCCCTCAGGGCCCCTCTCCAGTCTCAAGAGCTGTGTCCACGCGCCAGCAGGCTCCCACATCACCTCTAACTCTATAGGAAGCTGGCAAGGGCTGAATTCAACACAGGCTGAAAAGGCCAAGTGTCGATACACGTGGGAGGTATCCAAGCCTTGTAGTGGCTCACAGTGGACCACTGTCCCCACTGTCAGAGGGGGTGTGATAGGGCCCATGTGAAACTGCTTCATTTGGCTTTCACGCTGTCTTACCTCGCCTGGCTGGGAGCCATCTCAAAGTCACACCTACCAGACCACTGTTTTCCTGGCAGCTAATGCTCGGAGGGCAGCAACTGAGTGACGATGTTTCCTTGCTCCCTTCCAGAAAGAAGATGCTGAATGGGAGCCCTGGGGATTCCGTGTCTGAACCCCAACAGG